GTACGAACATCAGATCTGGTCAGCTTATCATTCAATTCGCCATTCATCACGTGATTTTTCTGAAGTTCATCCTTCAAGTAGGCGATCTCCTTCTCATTCTCTACAGAACGATGTTGGAACACCTCGATTTGAGCTTGTAGCTTTTTCACTAGTTTTCCAGCTTTGATGCTCGTCGCTAATGCAAGCTTATGGGTTTCCATGTCTACTTCAAAAGAACCATCTCTAGAATCATCAGAATCACTATGAGAATTATACGTGTAAGAACACATACCTGAATCTGCATCACAAGGCTTTTGAGAGGCTGTATAGCACGTGAAGTTGTTGGGAGAAGTGACGACAAAGTTGTTCGTGTGTTGCTGGTCATCGTCGTCTTCATCATCATCCCACGTGGCTCGATAGGTTTTGTTCTTCCTCGTGAAATTCGGACAGTCTTTCTGAAAGTGTCCAAATCCCTTGCATTCACGGCATTGGTTCTTCTCTACGTCCTGATTCTGATTCTTCTGAGAATGTGTGCTGGAACGTCGTTCACCAGACTGCTGGTTGGTGTTCTTACTGAAATCGACAGACTTCTTCGCTTTGAATCCCTTTTTCTTCTTTAACTGAGAAAAGTGGCGTGTAAGAACATCCAAAGCCTTAGCAATACTTTCAGCATGAAGAGACTCATCATCATAATCCTCTTCGGCATCGAAAGATTCTTCATCTGAATCTTCCTCCTCCAACACAGGTGTACGAATCTTGGCTTTTAGAGCTAAGCCTTTTCCATTCCCTATCTTCATCGAGTCAAATCCATGATTTATTTCAAAGGTACGCAACTCACCGAGAAGGTCATCAATGCCCAGCTTTTGAATTCTCTGAAAACTCTCCAAAGCTGTAATATTAATTCCAAACCTATCCGGTAGAGTTCTCATTAACTTCTGCACTTGTCTAGCCTCTGGAACCGGTTCACCAAGCATTGCGCTTTGGTTTACTAGATCGCAGAACCGGGCATAGTACATGTCAATAGTCTCATCATCCTTCATGCGAATCTCGTCTAGTTTCGTAGAAACTCTTTGGAGCCTTGAGGTTTTTACCGCGTTTGTACCTTCAAACTGTCTTTCCAAAATCCTCCAGGCTTCTTGAGCGGTCGTGCACTGAATGATTATCTTGTGACGAGTGGGATCTACAGCAGACATGATAGCATATAGAGCTCGAAAATTAGCTTCTTCTGCTAGTCTTTCCGCATCAGTCCACAAATCTCTCGGTTTTTCAACAAGAACACGAGGACCAACATCAGAGAACGAGGATCCTCCCTTCTTTTCCGAGGGTGATTTCTCCATCAAAGGTGTTGACCAACCTAATTCGATGACTTGCCAAGTTCCTTTTCCAAGAGACCGAAGAAAAATTACCATCATGGATTTCCAGTACCCATAGTTCGAACCATCGAGGTACGGAGGGCGCGAAACAGACATGTCGTGGTTCATGGTGACCGACACACAGTCCCAAAGATCTTTATCCCGTAGTTAGAACAGGAACACTGCTCTGGTGCCAATTGAAACGTATAATTACTTGCGAGTGCGCGAAATGTAGTACGAACGTGGATAAACAACGTAAATAGCGGAAGCAATAAACCGAAGATTTTAAAACTCTTCAGGGAAGCGTCCCACTTCCCCTCAGAGCTCTTTCATTGATAAACCGTTCACACTTGTATAGTTTGGACTTACACGACTCGAACTCCCTTCTAGTCTAGCCACAACTACACACGATCCTATCAACTACTTCTCCGGCCACGTCCCGTGGACTTTACACACTCGAATTTCTCGAGCAAAACCCAGTACTTAATCCCTAAGCACTAAAATAAAGTGTTTGTAAAAGAAAAGAAACAAAACGAGTTCAGTTCTTCAGCAATGTAAGAACGCTGAAAAACTGGACCGAATAAAATAAAAATAATAGAAACTCTCAAACACTCAATTGAAGGTGATGAATGATGAACTTGATTTGCAGCAGCTCTCTACTCTTCAATTGATTGCTTGAGTAGGCTTATATACAACCTCCTTAAGGTAAGGAGTCTTCACAGTTCTTCCTTTACCTTTTAGGAATCAATTTCCTTCTCAATTGATTCCTTTCTGATTTGGACAAAATCCTTCATGTAAGATAAGTTTCCTTGATGTAGAAATCATGCATGTGATTTGGAGATCTTTGGAATTGAGCTTCCAATGAAAAAACGCGTTCCAAGAATCTGGTAAGAACATGACTTTCCAAATATAGCCGATCTTCCAAATCTTCAAAGATCTTGTGGTGAATCTTTCCAAATCCTCCTTAGATCTTCTCATGAACGTCCAGAACTCTTCTTGTATGGAAAGCTCATCCTTTCATAGTCCTTGCCACCTATTCCTTGTCCTACAAGAAAGAGAGAACTAATTATGGCATGTGGCATATATGGTAAGTAAATATATAAGATATATATTATGTAATCCTTCTCCTAAAGGATTAGGATTCCATAATACATACTACAATAAATATATACCATATATTATTAATAATAAATATTAGGAACTTAATTAAATCACATGTAAATAAATAGAAAAACTTCCTTTTAATTTATTTTGCTTGCTTAACAAGAAATCTTCTAGAAAACACTTAGGTTTGTCGGACATGATGTCAAACTAATGTTCTTACAATAATAAGGCAAGATTTGTATGCACTACATTTGATAGGATTTGGACAAGTTATCCTGTATTGTGTTGTGTTTGTTTTTCCTCGATACGGACAAGCGAGTACGAAGCTGATTCGGGATAACAATAGTGTTAAACGTGGGTTAAGCAAAAAGATACATTAATCCCAAAGCCATACTAGTGTTCACTACAGAAAAATGTGATACAGTCTCAATGTCAGAAATATTCATGAGCAGAAAAAAACTTCCCACAAGAAGCTAAGGGCATGCTTGTTTATGGATTTTTTCAATCCAATTTTTTCAACTCAAATATTTAACTCAACTTTAACTCAAACTCACTATCTTTAATATTATTCATACAATTAAATAATAAAAACCAATCATTCTTACACATCACATCAACTTTAATTCACTATTCATCCACTCACATAATTTTAACTACCAA